GATGGAGATTGGGATCGGGAAGTGCGGGTAGTGGTGGGATCCGGATCGGGATTGGGAAGTGTCGGTAGTGGTGGGATTGGGTTGGGATGGGGATTGGGACATGCCGGTAGTGGTGGGATCAGGATCGGGATCAGGACTGGGATCAGGAAGTGCTGGTAGCAGCGGGATCAGGATCGGGACTGGGACATGCTGCTAGCGGTGGGATCAGGATCAGGATCCGGATCGGGATCGGGTGCTCACCGCGGCCCGGGCAGGCGGCCGCCCAGTGCCCCGCGGCGCCGCAGCGGAAGCAGCCGCCCGCGGCGCCGCCGCCGCCTCCGAACTGCTCCGCTTTCATCCGCCACTTCTGCTTCCAGAGCTGCCGGGCGAGCCGGCGTCAACGGCTCCTCCGCACGGAGGCTCCGCCGCCCGCCGGGCCTCCCTTTGGGCGCCCAATTAAGCCCCAGGTGCTAATTAGGCCGGCCACGGAGCCTACAGAGCCCCAGGCCTCCTTGCAGGGGGGTTTTAGAGCCCGACCTCCCTACAGAAACCGCTCCGGGAGGCCGGCGGAGGCTCCGAGGCCGCGCAGGAGCCTCCCTGTGGTGCCGGGGAGCTCCGAGGCCGAGTGGAGGCCGCTCGGGGCGCCCTACCTGCTTGCGGAGGCGCTTGCCCTTCAGCACGGGGCCCCTCGCGTACGTCTTCCTCTTGAGGTTCAGTCGGACAAAGTTGGCGCCGTCCCTGCGGCGGGGAGGCCCCGTTGGCGCGGGGGAGGCCGGCGCGGGGCGGAGGCCGGCGCGGGGCGGCAGCACCCACCTGGAGGCCGGAGGCCTGCGGGAAGGGCGGCCTCGGCCCTCCTCTTCCTCCGCCTCTCCCAGGGGGTCCCCGGCGGGCACCGGCACCTCTTCGGCCTCGGCCTCCTTGCGGCGCCCGCTCCGCTTGGCCGCGGCCTCGCCGGCCGCTCCGGCCTCGCGGAGCCTCTTGCGGGAGGCTCGGAGCTGCTTGGGACGAGCGGCTCCCTGCTCCGCTTCCTCCAACGGAGCCGCTCCGGCCTCCTCCCGCTCTCCGGCCTCCTCCCGCTCTCCGGAGGCTGGAGGGAGGCACCGGGATCCGCCTCCCGTCACCAATCCCGGGCCGCCCTCCGCCTCCCGGCGCTCGTCCCCGGCAGCGCCCGCAAGCTCCGCGTCGCGCCACATTCCCAACGGGGAATCATCGGGAAAAGCCTCCCCTCGCAGGCGCTGAGCTGCCGGCTCGGGAGAAGGGGAGCGACGATCCCGCTGGGAAGCGGGGCCGGGCTCCCGGCGCTCCGGGGCCTTGCCGCAGCCCTGGCACCTCCGGAGCCAGCCGGGATCCAGGGAGCCCAATCTCCGGGCCACGGTCCGCTTCAGCTGCTGGAATTTGTCCGCCGGCGGCCGGGGCTTGGCCGCGCGGGCCGAGAGGACGACGGGGGCCAGCGCCGAGACCGAGGGGGGCAGGGGCAGGTCCCCCGTGTCCCCCGTGTCCCGCGGCGCCGCTCCGGGTGCCGCCTTCGGGGACGGTCCCTCGGTGCCGCTCTCCGGGCTCTTCTCCGGCCTGGGCACGGCCGGTGGCTTCGGCGTCAGGGTCCTCCTCGGAAGCGGGGGCCTCTCCTGCGGTTGGGGACGAAACGGGCGGTTTTGGGGCCCCTCGTTCCATCTTGGAGCTTGGCGACCTCCGGACCAAACCGGGAGGGACATCCATGGAATCGAGCGGGAATTCCTGGGGGTGTCCCCAGGATGGCATGGGAATCCCCAGGAATGGTCTGGAATCACGCAGGGAATTCCCGGGGATGGCCCTGGGATCGCAGGGGAATCCCCGGGGGCATCCATGGGGGGCGGGGG